AGAAACTCTTCTCATCCTTCATAGCATTAATTAGCTTAATAAATGTCTTACATATTTATAAAAGGAAAACGCACAAATATTCTTCCAAATAAAATTATAAAAGAAATACTCTTTTTAAAATGTCCATATGTCTTGTGAAGCCAAAAGTTGGATTGGATTATGCAAACCTCTTATCTTTTATCTTTTCTTACCTCCAACCTCATATCTATTTTCAAAGTTATATCTGACTGTTCTATTAGATGGGGTGCTAAATTGTATTTTTATATTTATCTGGTCATATTTTAGACCAACATCCTTCCCTAACATAAATGCTCCCCTCGCTCTTATTCTTTTGTGATAAAGTAAAAATGATAAATGCATAGATAGCTAGAGAGACAAACTGGAAATTAATTGTAGCTTAGGTAATTTGAAATTAATTGTAGCAAAAAAATTGGAGTAAAGCCATCAATGTGATGTTAATTTCGCTTTCGCTGTGCCCATCTGGTATTCTGGTCAATAATATGCTGAAAATTACTTCCTCACCTCTCAACAAACGGAAGCCAACGAAAATTCTGGGTACAATTAATATTTTTGCTCGACAGCTGCCAGCAAGTCCACTGCTCCGGTAGTGGCCATGCCACTCTTCGCCGGCAACCTCTTTGACCTAACCCTTTTTCTTTTGTCTTTTTTTTTTTATTGTTGTTTTTAGTGTCAGAGATCCCAGATTTGTCTATTTTTTTTCCCCTTAATTAAATGTACAGGTCAACCTTAGAGTCATAATGCCACATAAGCAGCTTATATTGCTAAGTCATAAGCCACATAATCTAAATTAATACTGTTAGTGCCATTTTTACAAAATTTAACTGTGTTTTAGTACCACTGTTCCAGGGACTAACATTTTAAAATAGGCTAAATTTCAAGAACTAAAACTATGAATTTAAAATTTCAGGGACTAATATCAAAACGAATCAAAATTTGACGGATTAAGAATTATATTAACCCTAGTTCTTATAACCTCTTTATCTCACTTACTTCACATGTAATATACTAGGCCCACACAAGTTTCTTTTTTATAAAAGAATCAATTATATTAAAATGAAGAAACTTATAGAGTTGGCATAATATAATTCATGGAGTGAATATATCAAGTTTATAAAGGAAGTCACTGGAGAGAAGAGTGAAGCATCCTATGGACATTACTTTTCAATGTACCACTGAACTTTGACTCAATCAGAAAATTATTGAGCAAATTCTTTTTACATGTGATAACATTAATATGAATAGAGGATGTTAAAAATGTTGAGATAACTTAGGTAATCCAATACAATATATATAATCTCATTATAAAAAGAATTGAGAATAAGATAGAATATTATATTATATTATAGATTGAGCCACAATAGTTGTTACGGCAACTAAAAGTACGATTCTTTGAATAAAAAATTTCATTCATCCATCTCATTTTTCTAATCAATATTCCTCTACGTGTGTAAAATAAAAATTTAAGGTGAAGGGACAAAAATACTCTTTTTCTCAAAGGGTGAAGGGAAAAGTATGTGTATTTTTGTACTCAAAATTTGTCTATACTGCCTAGCTTTTATAAAATAAGATAAAGAATATTTTTGCACCTTCACCTAAAAATTTATAAGTAGACTCTATTGATAAGTTTATTATTTATATAACTGATCATTTCCCCGGGGGAACAAGTATATACTACTACCTTCGGTCCTAATTATAAGAGCTAGTTAACTAATTTAAGGAGATTAAGGAATAAGTTAAGTTAGTTATTTGTAATAGATAAGTGTTGTCTATATACTACTAGTCTACTACCTTCGATCCTAATTAAAAGAGTTAGTTAACTAATTTAAGGAGATTAAGAAAATAAGTTAAGTTAGTTATTTGTAATAGATAAGTGTTGTCTTTCTTAAAATATCCTTGTTAATCAAATATATTGGTTAGAACTACCATTATTAAAAAGACTATCTTAAGAAAAAATACATAAATATTAGAAACAAAATCGATTGGGGTCTTATATTTAGAACCAAAATAAAAGTTAAATAAGATTTTATATTAAGAACCGGAGATAATATATTCCAAACTTTTTAACCTAATTTGTAAAATCTCAAATTGAGACTTCCGATCAAAATGGAATTTTGAAATTGTGGTAATTTTACAATATTACGCTTTATTTTATATTAAAAAACCATGCCACCATCACTAGCGATCTCACAGCTGGGTGAACACCGGTGCCCAACAACAACTGATGGAGCTCTGGCACCAACGACCGATGGCCCCCGTGCTCCAGTGACATTTTTTTTTTTCCCTGGGCATATTGACAATACCAATATCATTGAGAACATATTTATTAAGTTTCACCACTTCATTAATATCATTAACAACAAATATTTTACAATTTCAACACTTGAAAAAAAATCAAAATGAAAGGTCACGTTAAAAATTATTTAATACTACCTCCAATCCTTAATATAAGAACTAATTGACTGATTTGAATAGATTAAGAAAATTAGCTAAGTTAGTTATTTATAATAAATAGATATTATCTTTCTTAAAATATCCTTGCTAATCAAGTGTATTGATCAGAACTATTATTATTACAAGGACTATTTTTTAAAAAAAATAGATAAATATAAGAGGAAAAGTGGATTGGGATTTTATATTTATAATCAAAATAAAAGTCAAATAAGCTCTTATATTAAGGACAGAAGTTAATACACTATTAATGGCATTGACAACACTTTTACCCATTTTCACTATTTCATCGACATCATTCGCAACAATTTTTTATAATTTTAATTATTGAAAAAAGTAAATATTTAAAATGTAAAATATAATCAAATTATCGACATTCTAATTAATCAAAGGAAATTATAAAAATTTTTGATAAATTATACTTTTAAGAACTTTATAAATGCACTAAAAATTGATAATGAAATTATCACCGTTCATAAGTTTTACACCTTTCCAAGTGTTAAAATTGTAAAACAGTTTTTATAATTGACATTAATAAAGTAGTACAATTCGGTAAAAATGTTGTCAACACTGTTACTAGTGCAGTAAATGATTTTTAATAGGACCCTTTACTTTGATATTTTCAAAGCAAGTTGTTGCTAAAGGTGTCAATAAAATTGTATAAAAAAGTGTTAATAAAATCATGAAACTCGATAAAAGATTTGTCAATGCCCAAAAAATAAAAACACTAGCAATGGAGGCGGCCAATAGCGTTGGAGCTTCATTGGCTGTGGCGGCAGGAGCGGGCCACCAATGCCGGAGCTCCAGCGGTGGGGTTGCCAGTGATGGTGGCTTGTTTTTTTCTTTTTAAAATAAGGAGCAATGTTATGAAATCACCAACAATTCAAATTTCCATTTTGATCATAGGTATTAATTTAGGATTTTGCAACTTGGTGTCACCATTTTGTAATTTGAAATTTCAAATAATATGTACTTGTCTTTTTCACTTTCAAAAGCTTCATACAACGTAAAAAAAATATATGTCCCGTTTTTTGTTTTTGGTAAAATGATTTCTATAAAAAATTAAAAAAAACATTGAAAAATATTATACCAATTTAATTTTCAGATACCAACTTAATTCCACTGATCAAGAATCAACAATAAATATTTACGGCGTCCTTTTCAGCTTCTTCCCCCTTTTTTTCTTTTTAAATTTAATTTTACTTTCCCCGTTGCTTTCGACCTTCTGGGTGGCTATAGAAACTATCATTCACCTATTTGTAGTTTTGCCGCGCTGCAGGAGGCTTTTCTATAAACTCTTCTACTGGGATACTCCACTGCGAGAGGAAGATACTAATTAAAAGGAAGCAGCAATTATACCTGCTTCTCGGCCAGATTGCTCTCTTGGGTTTCAAATATCACCTCAAAACATAGAGTCCTCTCCCATTGAAACCCAGCCGCTTGCCATTCTCCACTCTTGAAGCTTCTCCGGCGACCTCTCTCTTCGTCCGCCAGCCTCTCAACAGTCATCTTCGCTGGCATATCTACAGCTTAGGTAAGTTGTTTTGCCTCTCTCTCTTCATCCATAGCTCATTGTATTGTTCTGTTCTCCTTGTAGTTTCTTTTTCCATTTGCAAAATACATCTGTGACTTACTCTGTTAGCTCATCTTTGCTTTGAAATATATGTCAGGAAAAACACTCACCCACGCAGAATCAAACTAAACAGATACAGAAGACGCGATTCCTTTTCATTTGGTAATTTTTTCGGTTAATATCGTGAATATTTCTTCATCTTCTTTCATTTCATTGTCTTCGATTCTTCTTCTGTTTCTGGCTGTAAAGAAAGATAGCCCAAGGGGAAAAATGTGTCGTTCTGGCCAAAGGGGAAAAAAGGGACTGGATTTTGAACTCTCATTGATTTTCTGCTTATGTTTTCTGAAACTTCAGTCAGAAAAATAGAGAAAGAAAAGGGACGGATTTATGAAGTTTGTATTAGCAGGAAATGTTGAAATTTTTTTTATTTTTTATTTTAATGAAATTACGGTCTTTATATATTAATTTGTACTTAATTAAATATAAAAATACATATTCTTAAACTCACATCAAACAAACCTCTCAGAATTAGTTATTCTATTACATACAATTTCACAACGTACATTTCATTTTCATTCATTTGGTGAACCGAATAAGCTAGTCGGAATGGCCTAAAGTGAGGCTGCTGGCACAAGCATTCAGCGTGGAAAACGTCAATATGGGTCATTTACGGGCAATTAAGTCCCATGAACTTTGTAACATATATTACATAAATAGACGTCTCTGTAGATATATTTGGATGAAATATATAATACACTTTTGTCTTTTTCCCCTCAAATAACTAAATAAATTTTTGAAATTGATCCAAGCCCTAATATGGAAAAAGGTTAACCTTTTATTCAAATCCATTGAATTTCTGAACGGTGATTGAAGCAAGCAAACAGTGTGAATTATGATAAACACACCCTCTTTCTTCTTTGTCACTCAATACTGATTTTCGTTCTCAGAAAACTGAGGCATGGAGAAGATGAGAAGAAGCAGTCCAGCAGCTTCTCTATTCATATTCACACTCATCATTGCGCTGATCTCCCGCAATCTTGTAATCCCTGTGATCTCCTCTACCAATATTGAAGATCCACATGCAGGATCTCCTCCCTCAGGTCTCTCTCTCTCTCTCTCTCTGTGCAGCTTTCTGACCCTCAAAGATTTCTGTTTTTGTTTTCCCCCCTTGATACAATTCATGGCTACATATGCATTAAGAGTAGGTTCAGATAATCAAATGCTTAAAGAGAAACTGTTCTGACAACTTTCACCTTTTTTTTTCCCTTGCAGTACCATCGTATTCTAGTCCTCCACCTCCTGGCTGCTCTGGTGGTGGCTATAATCCAACTCCACCAATGCCCTCCGGCGGGAACGGCGGATCACTACCACATCGTCCGTCTCCGACGCCATCGAACCCTCCGTCTAGCTCGCCATCTTCATATGGAGATGGCAGGCCACAGGCCACCCCAACCGACCCAGGCACCCCTACTGTCCCTTCATTGCCCTCTTGCCTTCCTTTTCCATCTCCGTTCATTGGTACTTGCAGGTATAATTTCAATGCCCTTGCCTCTTTATTTTTCTCTTCTCCAACCGTTCTTGTACATCTATCACCAAGCAGTAATGTAAAATGAGTTATTATCTGCGTTTTCAACAATAACTCAACGAATAATTCCCAACTCAGCGACTTTATTTTCACCATCTTGCCTTTCTGTGCTTCAGCAATTGCCAATTTCGTCAGGTTAGCATTTCTTTGAATTCTTGCCTCTAGCCATTTGTTTATACTTTTTCAATCTCTATCTTTTTACTCACTTCGCTAAAATCTAGTTTGATAATATGTTACTAATCTGATGATGATGCAGCTCAAATTCTCAGCAAGGTGGCAATAATATTCCCGTTCTAGTGTTCGCTTCTCTCTATAAACTTAAATCTACCCCGTGCTGCAGCTTGTGCCAATAGTTTATTTCCACTATCTTGTTCATTGTCATGTGCTTAGCTTTAATATTCCGCCGGTTTACGCCCCATCCCACGACAACATTTCTGATTTTTGAATCATCAATACACATGTTTCTTCCAATTGCGCTACCATGGCTCTACTGCATGACGGCGCAAAGTATTTTCATCTTTATAATTCTTGATGTCTGTTCTAATTAGCAGTAAGATTTGTTAGCAAAACAACATATATACATATATTATTCAAACAATCCAGATTATATACATATATGTATGTGATACTCAAAAACGTTACAGCAGAAGACTTATAAATACCTTTCGCCATTAGCTCAGTTAATTTGATGTAGAAGTCGATCTGAATAATGACAAGCTGTGGATTGAAGCACACAGTAGAGAAGGAAAGAATGTAAGGAATCTTCCAGCTGGTGATTGGGCACAGTGATGGCGACTGGGATGCAGCCGTCACCAGTGGGGAACCCTCAAAGAGTGAGCAGAGAGATTAGGGTTTCGCTCCTGACTCAGTATACCGTATGTTATTTTCACCATCAAAAATTAACTTTAATTAACTAAGTCAATTACCCATCTTGGACTGGGCCCAAAATGACTGCGAGCCACACTCAGAAATATTTATTAATTATCCTATTAATATCTAAATAGTTATATATTAATAATAAATATCTCACATTCTCCTACTTGGCCTGTATACTCAATGTTATTGCCCAGTCAAGATTAACTAAGGACATACTACAAGAATCATGGCGATAAGTCCTCTTTTATCGAGTATTACCTTCCATGTATTACAAGCAGCATCCTTACTTAATGGGTACCACTTTATGAATAAACTCGATGTTTATTCGGTTCCTGTCTCAATGTTTATCAATTTCAATATCACAAATGTATACAATCTTAAACAAGAAATGACAAACCATAAATTTGATTTCATTGCTCATACCTCAATTAGTCAAATAAAGGACGAAGTCCCATAAGAGGTACATGTGAAACGAAAACATTCGGTTTCAACCCTTTCGTCAAAGGATCAGCTAGCAAATCATTTGTACTGATGTGTTCAACCGAAACTTGGCCATCTTGAACTCTTTCTTTCAGGCATAGGAATTTAAGTTCGACAAATTTGCTTCGACTTTTATTCCTTTTGTTATTTGCTATGGCCACTGCAGCTGCGTTATCATAGTACATTCTTATTGGCCTATAGATTGAGTCCACAATCTTGAGCCCAGCAATGAAATTCTTTATTCAGATTGCTTGTGAACTTGCCTCAAAACACGTAATGTACTCAGCATCACTAGTAGAAGGAGCTATTAGCGTTTGCTTTGCACTTTTCCATGATATAGCTCCTCCTGCTAATAGGAAGATGTAACTGGTTGTAGATTTATTTGTATCTACACATCCTCTAAGATCTGAATCTGAGTACCCAATTACTTCCAAATTATCTGTTCTTCTGTATGTGAGCATATAGTGTTTAGTACCTTGTAGGTATCTGAACACCTTCTTTGCAGCTGTCCAATGTGCTTCCCCAGGATCACTTTGATATCTCCCCAACATACCCACAGCAAAAGCGATGTCAGGTCTTGTACAAACCTGTGCATACATCAAGCTTCCTACCGCTGAGGCATATGGGACCTTTTCCATATGTTTTCTTTCAAGCTCGATTTTGGGACACTGATATGAACTAAATTTATCTCCCTTTTCAATAGGAGCTATGTTAGATGAACAGTTTTTCATTTTGAATCGTTTAAGAATCTTGCCAATGTAAGCTTCTTGAGATAAGCCTACAAGACCTTGGGTTCTATCTCTATGAATCTTTATGCCAATGACATAAGATGCTTCACCCATGTCTTTCATGTCAAAACTCTTGAACAGAAACTGTTTCACCTCACGCAATAGTCCCAGATCATTTGTAGTAAGCAAAATGTCATCCACATACAAAATCAAGAATATGATCTTACTCCCACTAGCCTTATGGTACATACAGTCATCTATGATGTTCTCAACAAAACCAAATGATGTGATCGCTTCATGGAACTTTAAGTACCACTACCGTGAAGCCTGGTTTAGACCATATATTGATTTATTTAGCTTGCATACCAACTGCTCTTTACCTTCTGCAATGAATCCCTCAGGTTGTTTCATATAGACTTCTTCCTCCAATTCACCATTGAGGAATGCAGTTTTCACATCCATTTGGTGTAACTCTAGATCAAAATGCGTAACTAATGCCATGATGATGCGGAATGAATTTTTCTTGGATACAGGTGAAAAAGTTTCCCTGTAGTCGATTCCTTCCACTTGTGTGAAACCCTTAGCAACCAACCTAGCCTTGTATCTATCAATATTGCCTTGTGAGTCCCTTTTGGTTTTGTAAACCTATTTACAGCCAATGGCCTTAGACCCACTAGGCAACTCTACAAGCTCCCAAACATGGTTGTTTGCCATGAAATTCATTTCATCAATCATAGCATCATGCCATAATTTAGAGTTCGCACTCTTCATGGCCTGAGTAAATGTTAATGGATCATTTTCAACATTTACATCACAGTCAACTTCAACAGAGTACACTATGTAGTCATTAGGTAATGCCGGTCTTCTTTCTCTAGTTGACCTCCTTAATTCAACCTCTTGGGTTGATTCAGGCTGCTGACTAGGAACATCCTCTATCACATTTTGTGGGGGTTCTACTTGTGTGACAGTTTGATCAGTTTGTATGTGTTCCTCTTGTCTAGCATTGTCAACTTGAGCTTCGGGATTTACATCATGTTCAATTCAACTCCAACAGTGGGAGAGTTATTAACTATTGATGGTCCCTCATAATTGGTGTTAGTGGTTTGCTCTATCTGATTGTCTTGTGAACAATCACTCCCACTAATCACATCATTCTCAAGAAATTTGTCATTCCTAGATTCTACAAATCTTTTAGAAGGTGGAGGACAATAAAACTTATGACCTTTTGATCTTTCTGCATAGCCTACAAAGTAAGCTCTAATGGTCTTAGGGTCCAGTTTCTTTTCCTGTGGATTGTACACTCTTACTTCAGCAGGACAACCCCATACCCTAAAATGATTTAAACTGGGTTTCCAACCTTTCCAGATTTCAAAGGGTGTTTTGGACACTGCCTTTGTTGGAACCCGGTTTTAATATGTATGTGGCTATCTTGAGTGCTTCCTTCCACAAGAAAGTTGGAAGTTTAGAGCTACTCAACATGCTCCTAACCATATCCAATAAGGTCCTATTTCTTCTTTCAGCTACATCATTCATGTCAGGTGAGCCAGGCATGGTATATTGGGCTACTATACCTTGCTCTCGAAGAAATTCAACAAATGGACCAGGTGCTTGTCCTTCACTAGTGTACCTGCCATAATACTCACCACCTCAATCTGATCTCACAATCTTGATTGGTTTCCCAATCTGTTTTTCTACTTCTGCTTTATATTCTTTAAAGGCATCTAGTGCCTCACTTTTATTATAAAGCATATAGACATACATGTATCGTGAGTAATCATCAATAAAGGTGATAAAATATTTTTGACCATGCGCGGTCAAGTCGGGGCAACAAATATCCGTGTGTATAATTTCTAGCAATTCAGAACTTCTCTTAGCCCCTTTATTTGACTTATTGGTCTTCTTTCCTCTTATGCAGTCCACACAAGAATCAAATTCTGGATGGTCTAAAGATGGAAGAATTCTATCTTTACTTAACCTTTTGATTCTTTCATCGGAGATATGTCCCAATCTCCTATGCCACAGGCTAATAGAATTCTCATCAATGACACTTCTTTTAGTACCATGCGTAATAGAAAAAGATTGCGGAGAATCAGAAACAATTTTAAATAAACCATCAATCATAACTAAGTTCGCAATCAAAACAGAGTCTTTTGACAAAGTCATAAATTTCTTAGAAAGAACTAAATGGTAATCAAACGGAATCAGTCTTGACATGGAAATCAAATTCCTCTTATAAGAGGGAACATAAAAAACTTCATAAAGGTCTAAAACGTGATTATTTGAAAAAATTATGCAAAAAGTCCCAACAGCTTTCACAGGATCTCCTTTCCCACTGCCTGAAAGGACCGTTTCCTCATTAGGATGTGGAGGCCTGCTGGTTAGAAAGCCCTGCATGGTAGTCGAAATGTGGATCATTAAACTAGTGTCAATCCATCAAGTGTCATTATTAATGCTAGAAAAATTAGATTCAAAAGTAACACACGATGAAAACATACCTCTCTTTTCTAGCCATGCCTTCATCTTGAGACACTTATCCCTCATGTGTCCCTTTTTCTTACAGAAGAAGCATCTGGCATTCCTTTTGTTAACAGCTCAAACAGCAAGGATTTTCTCCTTTTTCTTTTTCTCCTTCTTTTCTTTCTTTCCCCTTCTGCTGTCAGCCTTGGAACTTTCTGCTAAATGAGCCTCCTTTTGTGCATCCTTTCCACTCATCAGCAATCTAGTCTCTTCTTGAACACATATGGACAACAATTCATCCACTGACCATTTCTCCTTATGTGTGTTGTACAAGACCTTGAAAGCATCATATTGAGCAAGAAGTGAGTTTAAGATCAATTGCACTAGGAACTGCTCGGTAGGTTCCATTTCAAAGGATTTCAACTGAGAGGCTAGGTCTCTCATTTTCATTATATGTTGCCTCACACCACCAATGCCTGTAAGCCTCATAACACATAATTCAGACATGATGGCACCACCTATCTGTTTGTCTGTTGGCTTGAACTGCTTGTCCAACGCTTCTAGGTATCCTTTGGCTATCTCACATTTAGGGATTGCTTCCCTAATGCTTCTGGTGATCCTTTGTTGTATAAGCAGAAGAGATAAGTGGTTGCTCCGCTCCCATAATTCATACCTTTCTTTTGCCTCCTTATCATTTGAGGCATCATTTGGTCTAGGAGGCTTTTCATCCCTCAAGGCATAATCTAAGTCCATACAACCGAGCTGCAGCAAAACATCATCTCTCCAATCAGCATAGTTAGTGCTGCCATCTAAGATTATTTTGTTGCTCACATCAGTCATGATTCTAGGGGCAGCAATTGGAACTGCAAATTGAAAACAGACAAATGAACAAACAAACAAACAAGCTCACAAGTTAGAATTTGAGGCAATCACAATTCACTGTGCCATGTATGCATGCCTAAATAAATAAAGCATACAAGTAATAAATACGTATCACTAATGTCTACCTGTGGGCAAAGACATTATCATAGCATGTATTTATCTCAAACTGATGAAACTAGAATGCATTTGCATTTTCTAATACCTGTGGGCCACTTAGAAAATAACAAGGCCATTCTATCCCACCCTAATTAAACATGCAATCATGAGACATCTACCTGTGGGCAAAGATAAATCATAATTACACATTTAATTACAATTGATATTTTAAATCCATATGTGATTAATTAGTGCATGCGACATGATTAAGGATGCTGTGGCTATTCCTTAGAAAATGCATGCTAATCACAAATATCACTAATGTGCATTTAAATTCCAAATATGCACAACTTAATGGAGAATTTAACAAATCAATTTAATTAACAAAAGTAACTAAATAATTTAATTTAAATTCTCCCACTATTTTATGCACCCAAAAAAATTTAATAAATTAATTTCAATACATTTCAACTTCAAAAGAGTTTTACAAAATTCAAATAGTTAATTTAATTGCCCAAAACATTATCCAAAAAAGGCAATTAAATAACAAAACAAATTAAATTTTGTAAACATTTTCCAAATGTCAAAATGTTGAAGAAATTAATTATCCTCAATTTAAAAAATTATGGAGCATAAAATAGATTCAAAGAAACATATTACAAAACAAAATTAATTTATTTTGTGCAAACATATTCTGGAAAATCAAATTAAATGGCCCAAAATAATTTTCTGGAAATAAAACCAAATGGCCCATACTTAAACGTCCAAACAAAACCCAAATAATCAATCCAGAAACAAAACAAAAAAGGGTTAGGCCCAAAACGAAAGTCCAAAAACAAACAGAGACAAAAACTTGAACTTCTGTACAAAAAAAAAGGGCCAATAAGAAGCCCAAAACGTTATTGTTACGACACTGTGAACATTTTTTTTTTTGCAAAGTGACCCAAAATAAAAGCCCAGACGGAGAGGGATAAAAAACAAAAAAAAAATCCAGAAAACTAAAGCCCAAATCCGTTCAGCCCAGTTCAGAGATGAAACAAAAACAAAAGCAGGTTTAAATTACCAAAAAAACCCAAAACTCTAGGCCCAAAACGTGTCAGCCCACCACTCCAGAATTAATGAAACTGTGCATTTCACTAATGGGCTGAAAACCTTCCGTTTTTCTTTTTTTTTCTGTTTTGTTTTGGCCTTTATGATTATGGTCTTGGGCCTTTTTTTTTTGTTTCGTTAATAACACGGATCTGGGTTAACCTAACCCGAATATTGACCTGTTTCTGCGTTGCTTCACAACCGCGGACCACCTGCTGCGTTCTGCAGTGCTTTTTGGCGACCAGAATGAAATTCCGACGAGCCTCAACAAAAGTCTAGCGATGCTTACGCCATTTTACAGCGCTTACGACTGTGGTTTCAATGGGTTTATGTCCAGAAAACATTGACAAGCAATTTTTTAAAGGGATTTCAACATAAAGAGGAAAACAAAATTCTGATTTTAAAGAGAAGATAAACAGCAATTTCCAGGCTCTCAATGTTGACCGAATCTGTGACAATAATCATCGGATGAACAAGTGTTCATCCTCTAAGCGTCCCATTAAACTGGTTAGATAAAAAAGAAAATTAAATAAATAAATAATTCAACAAATCGGCAAAGTGGCCGTGATCTTCAACAGGATCATTCTTTTTCCCAAAATCATCACAGATTCACTCATGAATTTTCCATAAAGCAAAGTCAATGAATAAAATATATTATAATCGGGCCTCCAATATCCGAATGCGGTGATGGTTCCTGGGAGAATCAAATAATTCTCTTCCATCCTTCCAATCCGTAAATCATTAAAACAAATATCCAAATCAAAATCAAATTAACCAGATCAAAAAGATGCTCTCAAAATGATTAAAAATTTTCAAAATAGAAAATTAAACAAATTCAAATGAGCATCATAAAAGAGTAAGGTGAGGTGAATCAAGAAACAAGGCTCTGATACCACATGTTAGCAAAACAACATATATACATATATTATTCAAACAATCCAGATTATATACATATATGTATGTGATACTCAAAAGAGTTACAGCGGAAGACTTATAAATACCTCTCGCCATTAGCTTAGTTAATTTGATGTAGAACTCGATCTGAATAATGACAAGCTGTGGATTGAAGCACACAGTTAGAGAAGGAAAGAATGTAGGGAATCTTCCAGCTGGTGATTGGGCACAATGATGGCAACTGGGATGTAGCCGTCACCAGTGGGGAACCCTCAGAGAGTGAGCAGAGAGATTGGGGTTTCACTCCTGACTCAGTATACCGTATGTTATTTTCACCATCAGAAATTAACTTTAATTAACTAAGTCAATTACCCATCTTGGACTGGGCCCAAAATGACTACGGGCCACACTCAGAAATATTTATTAATTATCCTATTAATATCTAAATAGTTATATATTAATAATAAATATCTCACAAGATTATATATAAGATTATATATAGGTATATATGTTAGACGATTCTAGAGTCAGACTCTGCGTAATTCTATGAACAATGGGTGTTCTGTATTTAATATTGTTATTGTTTGATTTTAGGCAATTTAATCTTACTGTTTTATGTATGCGAAGGTAATTTCTTAGGCTTAAGATGTCCAAAGAAATTTACTTGTTGACTAAAATAAAAGATATCAGCCAGACCCCAGCAAATATAATAGTTAAATAGCTTAAGATTTGAAAAGATACTTGGTGGATCAGGATTTCCAGTGACTATGTCTAACTGTCTATTAGAAGACCTCATTATCCCATAACGGGATCGGCTTCAGTGCTCAGCACTTTATGACCAAGGAACCGATCAATTAAAAAGGAGAATGAAGCAAAAAGATTAGGCAACCTAAGAATGGTGCTTTTTTAAATTTAATTTCCATACTGATTATGCTTTTTTCTCGTTCTGGACAAACTTGATTGATCTCAGATTTTTGTTCCCTGAACTGCATTTTTCCTTTTAGTATTCAAATCAAAGTTCACTACGATATTATACATCCTCTCTCATTGGCTTGACAATTCTAAGATTTGGTTCTCTTTCAATTTTGGAGTGATTAGGAAAAATGTTCTTAATCTCTATATCATAACTTGAATAATGATAACAACAAAGGGTGCACAACGGATCGGAAAACATCATAGTTGAGAGGAAAATAATGCACGGAAGTGGCAAATGATTTTGGAATACTGATATTTGTTTTAGGGGCATGTGAGGTTTAATCAAACAAGTGGAGGAAAAATGTTTGTGAACGAAAAGGAGGGAAAAAGGGAAAAATATGAGGAGAAAGAAGTAGATGAAAGTAGGTTGGACTTGAGATGTCCCGTTTATTAAAAATGGAAGGGATTGCCATTTAAGTGAGTGTGTCCAAGGAGTCAAAAAGAGGGCCGCGTCTTTGAAAGTTCACATGTGATATCGTGTGTGTGTCTATATGTACAGAGATACCTTAATTTTTTTTTTTTTACACCAAAGAGATACCTTAAATAGGCAAAGTGGGGAAGTGGATAATATAATCGTACAAAATTGGCGAAATATATCGTACAAATCAAAGGCAGCACCGATCCCTTCTCACTAAGCCCCCTCTTTACTCCACTCTCCCCACATCAATTTGGTTATTTATTATTGTGCTTCTTTTAGCCGAATTATTTTATTACAATGATTAATCAACCTTATTTTCTTTTATTTTTATTTTTATTTTTTGTTGTTTTCCCCTTTCCTTAGATAGGCAAACAGGTTTTTTTTTTTAATTAATGAAAGTAATCTTATTTGAAACATTGTTGGTTATTAGAATTAAGCATTTCTACCCAATAATAATTCAAACCTTGGTTTATTGTGTAGTGAAGAGTTAGCCCTTTGGTCCCCCCCCCCCCAAAATTTTGTTGTTATTTTATCACACTCCCTCAAAAGACTTATTTTCAAGAAAAAAAAGGGGGATTCTGCTGCCTTGCCTCTTTCATCTTAATCTTGGATGATCATTGCATCTGTCTTTAAATAGAATAACCAAAGTAGATTTCATTTGTCCCTTTTTCTATGTGATGCGAGGGATAGGAACATTTAAGTAGGCCATTTGTCTGAGCTATTTTCTATCTAAGATTAATGCACATCCTTAAATCCTAATCCATTTTACGTAATCGAAACTACTTCGGGGTATGTTTGGTTCATTAAAGAAGAGAAATTCTAATGATTTATCGTTTAGTTCAGGAAAGCGAAATGAGTTTATTCTTATTCTAATTAAATTTTAGCTCCTTTAGTAACATTTAATTAAAGGGAAATAAAGTAATATCACCAAAATGGCACCATCTGTTTAAATTGTCACTTGACTATTCTTTTAATCAGTCCCTTTTATCACTACAAAACAGATAATAATAAATTATCTATGCTGGAAATATCAAAAGAAGGGAATGATAAAAGGAAACTAATAGAAAAAGCAAGGTAGGGGACCTCATGTCAATTCGAGGTAACCGATCTCTGATATATTTATTTCAAGGAGTTATGTAGCCTAACTCAGTCGAGTGGGAAAAATTAATTTCTCTTAAATAACCTGGTGTCACTAGATGATTTTTAAGGAGCAACTGAGCTGATTTAGTACCTGTTTGGTTGGGCTTTTCAGGGGTGAAAAGTAGCTTAGTTCGGGCATAAGCCCGATTGAATATTTGGGGGCTGTTTGGAAGGGCTTAAGCCCAATATTAGCTTATCTACAATAAGCTCTGAAACATGTGTTGCGGGAGAAGCCGTGAAATGTAGCTTATTGAAGAGCTTATTATTGCATTTTTATCATTGTGATGTGTCAGAGCCATAATTCTCCTCTCACTTCTGCCATATTCCGTCATTTCACTTGTTCATTTTTTTTTTCACCTCAAAGCTCTCCCACAAGGAATCTTTGCTGCCCAACGTCCTCCGTCACCTCCTCACCAAAACAACTGTCGGTGGTTGCTGTGAGCTCCATTGCGTCTCCTTTATAAGGTCATTGTGTTGGGTGTGGCATTGAGTAACGGAGAGCCTGCTCCTTCATCACTACTTTGACATTGTCTGAGCTGCTGTCGGCATGTCCAACCCAGGTCGCCACCATCTACCAGCGCACGAGAGCTATGTGTGGAGATCTTAGCCTCCCAGTGGAAT